GAAAATAATAACAAGAAAAAGGAGGTAGGCATTTCCTTCAAATCCTCAAATGAGAACAATCAAGTTACAAATGAAGAGGTGGATGAAGATGATGATGAAGAAGAAAATATGGCCAAGCTATTCAAAAGATTCATGAGATTCATGACTTCCAAAGAAGTGAGGTATGAATTAAGCAAAAAAAAAAGGTCCCTGATGTGCTTCGAATGTCAAAGAACAAGGCATGTAAAATATGATTGTCCCCTCCTAAAGAAGAAGGGATCAAGTAAGAAGAAGGTATTTGTTGCAGCTTGAAGTGATGAAGATGAAGTAGCTAACCTATGCCTCATGGCCATCGAAGAAGATTCAAAGGCATCTTCTAACTCAAATGAACTAAATTCATATTATTTTGATGAGTTACAAGATGCTTATAATGAGTTGTATTTGGGATTTGAGACCATGGATTCTAAATATAAGAAATTAATTTCAAAACTTAAAGTTGAAAATGATTTGGTTTTGAAAGCAAAATGTTGATTTTGAAAAACAAAATGAATCTTTAAAAAATGATTTAGAGTTTTCAAAGGTTAAAATCAATGATTTAGAAAAATAAAATTTTGATTTGAAAGTTAAGGTTGAGAGCTTAATAAAAGAAAAAGAATTAATTTCTAAAAATAACTCATTATGTTTAAAAATGGAAAAATGCTCATATTGTCATTTTTAGGGTCATTTGGAACATACTTGTCCTTTAAAGAAAGGAAAACATTTTAAAATTAAACAAGTATGGGTTTCTATGGGAACAAGAGGCATTGAAACTAACGTTCAAGGATCCAAAGCAATTTGGATACCAAAATCCAAATGAATGTCTCTTGTAGGTGTGTGGGAGCAATGGTGATGAAAGTGAATATATTCAAATGCTCTAGCCACACTTGAAAAGGAATAGGTAACCTTTAAGCTTAATGCTTTTGTTTTTTATTATTTGGTTGCACATTTAGGTTTAAACATGCATGAGCTTTGATTTTTAAATAATTTTATATTTTTCATCTCATGTATGTTGAAAATATGTTATGATGAACATTTTAAAGTTTTAATGATTTTTTATATTTTTAGTTCATCATAATGAATTTTGGTCAAAATTGTTTTTAAATGCAAATGATATCTCTCTAACAATTGATATTAATTTTTTAAATGCTTTGATTTTGCAATTTTTTTTATTTTTGACCTTAATTTAAATGTTTATACATGTGGTTTATTGCAAATGATATATCTCTAACAATTAATATCAATTTTTCAAATGCATAACATTTTTGGATAACTTTATGCACTTGAACTTAATTTCAACAATTGGTATTGCATAAAGCTTATTAGACTTAGATATATTTAATTTCATGTGCTACTAACATGTTTGTCCATCTTTGTTGAAATTCAATTTTTTTAAGTGTCATGATTTTTAAAGTCAAATTTTTGTTTGGAATGCTTTTATTGAGGGGAGCTTTGATTTTTCAAATGATTTTCTGATAAAATTTACCACTTACTCTCCATTGTTATTTTTTTAACTTTAAAGTTGTATTATTTTTTGATATAACAAAAAGGGGGAGAAGTATGGGTTTGAAAAATTCAATTTCAAGAATGAAAATGGTGGAGCTTTAACATTTTCCAAAATATGTCTTTTTTTATTAAATGTTTTATTAAATGGGAGTTTTGCCAAAAACAATTTTTTTTAAATGTTTTGTTATATCAAAAAGGGGGAGATTATTGAACCATATTTTATAATATTTTGATATAACAAATTAAGGCAAAATGTTTTTGGACTTGAATTGAATTTTTTTCAAAGTTTTCAAAAATAATTCAAAGTCCATTAAAACTGAATTTTGGGCACAAAATGTTTTTCTGGGTACATAGTACCGATACTGTTCTTACAATATCGATATTGCATGAAAAGTACCGATATTGTTTTTGTGGTGCCGATACCAAAGGTAAGAGAAGTATTGATACCACCATCTTGCTCAAATTCCAAAATTAAATAATAGGTATCGATACTACTTTACATAGTAATATCGATATCATGTTCGCAGTATCGATATCGTCAGGCCCAACGACTAGTAACGACTAGTTTTATTTAAATATATTAAAGGAAGTATCGATACTCATTAATGAAGTACCGATACTCCCTGTCCTGGGCAGTTTTATTTTGCAGGGAAAACATCCCCAACGGCTCTAAATCACTCCCAACGGCTAGAAATGGTCACAATCATATTTCAACATATAAATACAAGATCAAGACAGTTGAAGAAGGTTTAGAACACCTATATAAGCATTTAAACACAATAGAAACATTTTTTTACTCTTTATTTTCTTTCTCTTGTAAATAGTTGTGTTTTTATGAGCTTTAATTTGTAAACACATCCTTTTTTAAAGGTTTCTTTGTTTACACCTTTTTCCTTTTGTAAAGAGGGTTTTTGGTTCTCGCTAAGCCTTTGAAAAGCTAGGAGTTTGTAAAGGTTATCTTTTTGTCCTTGAAAAAGAAAAAACAAATTAGTGGATTTGTTGGAAAATCCTAAGTGAGGAGCTTAGGTAGAGGATGTAGACTTTGGTTGAGAAAGTCGAACCACTATAAATCCTTGTGCATCATTTTTTATCCCTTTAAATCTCCTTACTCTCTAAAATTATCAAAAAGCCAATTCTCCCCGTTTTGGCAATATTTTCGGTTGTTCTTTGAGTTTCATCAATCCGAACATTACTTATCCGAGAAATTCTGACCTGACCCCAGAAATGAAATTGAATATGTTACAGTTGCATGAACCTAACCTTGTAGCCAAGGTAGAATTGTTTCCACAAGGATAATTCTATTCAGATTCTTTTATTAGGATGAGGGAGAGTTATAACGAGAATGTATATTCAAGTGGTTAAGAATTACTAGATGACACGTACTTCTGTAAAAGCTACCTGAAGGTATTGAAGAATTGATGAAAGCTTAACTCCTGCATTTCAGTGACTTGAGTGAATTTCGAGGACGAAATTCTTTTAAGGGGAGGAGAATTGTCACACCCCCAATTTTCAAATTAAAATTTATTAAATAAATTAATTGATTTTAGGGATTAAATTGTAAGTTTATGAAACTTTCGAGCTAATTTCAAAAGTTTAGAAGTTAAGGGACTTAGCCCTGAATTTACCCAAATTATTGGTTAGTGGAAAAAACATATGGGACATAAGAGACTGGGCAGGTTTAAACCCAGGACCTAGTGTATGGCCAGCCATCCCGATACTATCTACCTTAGGTCATTGTTTTAGTTTAATAATAATAAATATACGTTTTATTATTTTTGGGTTGGGTGATAACCTTTTTATTCCAAACCCCCCGGTCGAGGAATAGAACCCCTAAAAGCAACCCACCCCAAGCTATTCCCGTCGCCCCTCTGGCCAACTACCTCCGAATAGCGGTTGAGTACACCGCCATTACCAGTCGATCCAGCGTCCTCCGGTGAACCATCCCCAATTGAAAACTCCCTGAATCGACTATCATTTAAGCCTAAATCAAGAGCAAAGTCATTCGAACCCCTCCCTCGCTGCTCATCTATCTCTGATCGTCAATGAAAGACATCGACCACCCCAATCGATGCACCTCACTAGCCCAACCAAAATCCCTAAGGCCGATCGATGCTATCTGCCTCTGTTCACCATGGGGAGCTCTCCAAATTCCATCAAATCACTAGCCCCTTAGTTCTATTTTTCGCGAAATCTGATCGCCTCGCCATGGGTAAGCCTCCAATGCTTTTATTCAGTTATTTATTGCGGTTCTTGGTTAATTTTTGATTGAATGTGGTTTGTTTTTGGTGTTTAGTTGATTTTCGATTATTAGGTCGTTGCCCCTATCCCTATCGCTCGCTGCACACGCTACCATGCGCCTCTAGTGCGCGTGGGCTTCGTTTCAGTCGAGTTAACTGAGTATTCTGGAAGCTGAGTCAACCCGCTGAGTCAACTTGGTAAGTCAACTTGTCTTATTCAACTTACCTGAGTCAACTTGTCCGAGTCAACCCATTGACTTTGACTAAAAAGTCAAATTTTCTGAATAGTCTATTTTATATTTTTCGACGTTCTGAGTCCGAATCCAAAGTTTGTTTCTCCAAATTCAAACCCGATAAGCTTTTTTTAGCATTTTACCTTCCGATTCGATCTGTTTATCATAATTAAGCCTCATTTCTGATGTAATTTCTATATATATATATATATATATATCTGAGATATTATTGTATGTTGGATTCAAGTTCGAGAGTGATCGAATGAAATTTAAATGTTAGATCGGTGGAGCATGGAAATCGAGGTAATAAATTACTACCTTATGCATGCTTAATTGAACATATTGGTATTGGTAAATGCATGGTTGAATATATATATATATATAGTTACTTGTGTGTAGCTAAAATTTCTAAACTCGACCTGAATGTGAAATAAAGTAAATTAAACTTAATAAGGCTCAGACTACATGCATAGACAGAAGAAGACTGATAAGAAATGATTTCAAGTTCAGTGATTATCCAGAAAAGGAAATAACCTCAGAATCTATAAAAAAAATTGTCACGTTAAAAACTTTAATACCGAAATTATCTAGTTATGAAATTACAAATTACCCCTATAAGGTAAAAATGGTCTGGACTGACCCTAATAGTGAAAGTACCCTGAGAATTCATAATTAATTCGATAAACTACTGATTTACCTGTTAAATTCCTGATTTGCTCGGATAGTCGCTGATAATCAGATCCTAACATTCGAGAATGTACAAGACCTATAATTATTGATTAATCAATAAGCACCTAAAGATGAAAACATCAGAAGTACTATTCATGTTTGAATTATTCAAAAAAATTGAATTAAATGGAAAGACTGGACGGAAAGAAAGGATTGGAATACCCTTGAACTGTAAAATGCCTCTGGAGTGTAAATGACCTAAGATACCCCCAAGTCATGGAATGACTAAATACTTGTTCATCTCTTCGAGGTTCGTTCAATGATAATTTTGAAAGTGCTCAGCATAGCTCAACTCAACTCTATGGCGCAATTAGTACTAAGAAGTGAATATTCGTGAGACTACTCTACCCACAAACTTGATAAGTACCGCATTATTGGGATCTGATCAGTTCGATTGGATTTGGAAACTGGATAAGACTCTTGAAATATGAAATATTGTAAATCACTGTTTACCTTTATTAAACTAAATTACCAAAATTTCTCAGGAATTTAAATGACTATAATGTCTTTACGTGAATATGATGTACGTAATCACCATGAGAATATATGAATCTTAAATAATTCTAATGTAGTTGTTTATGACACATCCTAAGGTTATATCCGAATATTATATACGATACTAATGTATCACTTTCCTAATGATTGATTAGTCTGTTAGTAATCCAACTTTTTAAAAATGGATCTTATTCCTCAAGTTCGATCAGTTGAAGAAGTTTCATGTTTACCTCGCTGGATAATTACCAATTACTTTTGAAAAATAACTAGATCCTCTAGTGTGTTCCCTATGTGTTATATGATTGTTTTATCTATTTTGAAATGTGTTGTACCGAGATTTCTAAGTTACTAAAGTTTTAAGCATGTTTGTCTGATTCATGATCTCTGGATATTGTTTCTACTAAATTGATATGTCTGAACTCTGATTTCTTTGCTACCGTAATATACTGTCTGAAAACTAATTTCTTCGGGGTACTGTGGGATCTGGTATGAAGACTCTGCAGGTTCAGCTCTGATCAAGCTGGTAATTTCTTATATAGGTTTAGCTCTGATCAAGATTTCACTAATATTTAAAATGTAAAAAAAATAAAACGGAAAGGAGAACTGGGTAAACGAGCTTGTTCATGAACATAAATGAACGAGTCGATAAATGAGCTCATAAACGAGTTTGTTCGTGAACATAAATGAACCGAACACACCTTTGCTCGAATTCGTTTGTTTATTAAATGAACATAAAAAAAAGTATTCATACTCATTTATTTAGTTTAATGAACGTTATACGAACGGTTCATGAACAGTTCACCGAACGTTATGTTCATCTCTAACTTTTTATTCAAATCCTATAAGACGAATTCAATGACAAAAGATAATGTTATTCTCTCTAGAAATCTTGGATTTAAGTAGTGATGTCAATATTAAGAAAGATTGTGAATAGATAATACTTTGTAATCACCTTAAACTGCTAAAAAAATTATTTAAAATTCTTTTAATTGCAAAATAATAATAAAATGATAAATTCGTAAGTTATTTTAATTATTATCAAGTTAAAGTTTATTAAATTATACTATAAATGTAAGCACATGTTAAAGATAATATATTTTTCAAGTTAGATATGCAAGTTCATATTTAATAAAATCTCATTGATATCATTAATGTTCATTTTTCCTTTTATTGCAATGCTCTTATTTTTTTTTCATCAATGGTCATTAACAGAAATTAAGATAATAAATAATTAAATTAAATATGATTTTAAAATATTTAAATTTGATATGATGATAAATTTGATAATCAACGATTATATTTTTATTAATTTAAATTTTTTAATTAAATTTGATTTTAAATTTTTCAAAAAGAATAAAATTACATTTTTCAATGTGCATATCGACTAAAACATAAGGCTGTGTTTAGTTTCAGGAAACATAGGTCATTTTTATTTTTATTTTATTAGCGAATAAAGAACAAAATAAAACATATTTTATTGATTTAAAAAAATAATTATTAAAGAATGAAATTGAAAATTTGTGAAAAATAAAATAAAATTTAAAAGATATTTTCTTTGTTTCCTCTAAAAATATTTTCTAGAATTGAAAAGGTTGAAAATGGAGGATTTCCAGCTTTAAAATTTTACATGGACTCAAATCTAAATAATTGCAGAAATATTTTTCTAATAATGTTTAATATTAAATCTCTGATTTAGTTCAAATCCTTATAAATGTAGGTTTAAAAACAAAATCAAAATCCATAAAATTACTTTACAACCAAAATGCAATACAGAGTTCAAGGTATATGATAAAAGCATGAAGGCAGGAACCATAAGGCCAAAGTGGTCATTCAGTCGACACGAATGCCTTCAAAATGAACATACTACCTATTTAGCTGGCTAGGTAAGAACATGCTCATCGCTTTCCGCCACCCCCACCGAGCTTGGGACCTTTCGGCGCACCACCCTTCGGGATGTTACTCTTGCCCTGTGTTTTCTGTTGCTTTGCTGCTACTTCTGCTTTCTTTGCCTTCTTTTCATCCTTCGTTTTCTTGATCCTTTCCTTGATTTCTCTGAAAACATACAACAGAAAAAAGATATCCATAAATACACAACCTATTACATGTCAAAATCAGCAAGTACAAACTTGTATGTCAAACGAAAAGGCCACACACCGGAGAGCAGCTTCCCTTGCAGCATCACGAACTTCGGGTTTCTCACTCCTCTTCTTCTGGATAACCTCTAAGGTGGCACCCACAATTGATCTGGAGTAAGGCTTCTTCGTGGCACGTCTCCTCTTCTTCACGGCCTCTTGGGCAATGTCCTAAATATATATGCATCCAGTACCAAGCAAATACGAGAATGGGCATGAGAACAACAAAATTATAGAAAATAGTTACTTTAGTCCCATCATGTTAATCACCTTATCTGGAAAATCTTTTATAAGATAAAATGAGATGCTAAACATTAAAATCTTTAGTAATAGAAGCCAATCCCCAAAAAACACGGCTGACTGATGGATTTTTATGTCGGATTTATACGAGAAAATTGATGTAACAATCCTCACACTCACCTTCTTGTGTTGCTTCCTATACATGGCTGTCCATGTAAGTTTGGATGGCTTCAGACGGTTGTGGAAGTACCTCTTGCATTTTGAATTGGAAAATAGGAAGACCTAAAAATCGATGAAGATCACAGCTTTATTGCCACTAGAACAATATAATATCAACCACCTCAAATCAGAATTCGACGGAAATTCACCTGAGAATCGGAACGAACAAATCTGATGCCTTTCCCTGGGTATATCTTGGCACCACTAAACCGGCAAAGCTCCGTCCTAACACATCAACAGAACACAGTCAAGTAAAAGGTCTAGAAATTCTACTAACTTTCAGCACAAAATAAGAAACCCAATAGATAATATCAATTTCCCAAAGGGAATTCAAACTGACGGACTCAATAGATGTTCATACATCAATCTAACCATTCAATCAGACGATTGCATCATTAACATCACATAATTCTTTATGCAATTTGCGCCAATACGGGGAAGTGAGCAAGTTAAAATGCATGCTACAAATTAAACAAATCAAATTTGCAAAACTTCCAACGGAGAGAGTTCCTCCGAACAACACTGGATAACAAGGAAATGGGCATTTAAAATATATATCTCATCATTGTTGAAAAAAAGATAGCTGAAAATTCAATTCCTGGCACAAAATTAACAGTCATATTTCAATCAAGCTGAAATAAAATAAAATAAAATAAAAAGAAATTCCATTTCGAGATGATGATAACGACAAAGAGAGGAGGAGATGAAGAACTTACTTGAGAACCATGGCTGCGACTGCGGTGGTTGTTGATCTGACCTCGGCTGTGGAATCCCTGCAAATCCTAGCGGCGTTGCTAATGTATATCAAGGGTTTATGGAAAACGACCCTTATATTGTGTCAAATTCACAAAATTACCAGCTCTGACTGGCCCGTCACTGAATGAACTGTAACCAAGCCTAAATAAAAATAATTTAAAATTTATATATAATCCGGTATTTTTTTAGTTCTTATTATTAAAAATTACAAAATGATTACGTTGTTATATTGTTGAATACTTTAATTATTAAAAGATATAAAATGACTTTATAAAGATTTTGGTTTGTTGAGTACCTTGATTAATCATTCGACTATTCATATAATAAATTTACTTTTTTCATTAAAAAATTGATTACAATCTGAGCTGAACGTTAACTGCTGACTGAAAGATTCTAAAATATTATCTCAAAATCTCAAACTATAGATAATATTCAACTTAGACGATCATTATTTTTCACACGAGTTCATAACATATAAGACGGTCATCATTTTTTATTAAAAAAATAAATTTAAAACATATGAATAATTGGATGATTATTTTATAATTTTACTCAAAAAAACTAACTTCTAATAATCCAATGACTCAACAAAATACCTTTATCATTTATTTTCTCTCATTAATTTATTGAATATGATTCCAACAATTGAATATTAAATATTTTTTGCCCGGTTATTTCGATAAACAACATTTTGTTTAAAATTAAGAATAGATTCTACATGTATTATTGTCATTACATCATTAGATTGGAACGTGCTATAAAACATTCAATGGTTTTTAAATAAATTAATCAAATCTTAATCTGATAGACACTATTTTGTTTCAAATTATTGTTTGTTTAGATATTAAAAATGGAAAAAGGTCTTGGACATAGAAATGTGGCAATGTTGGGGCCCAAAATTGATTTTTCTCTATTATATTACGTATCTCTTCCTACAATATCATTATATTATTTATTATATTAATATTTGTAATAAATACATATTGGAAATTTTTGTAGGTTATAACAAGATTAAAGCACCCACATGTAGTTCTGGAATACATACCCATTTTTTATTTAGAACAGCCCACAAAAAGGTACTTCCATTACAAAACCATAAACAAACAGAATCAAAACAATGAAAAGTAACATAAATATGCCACCCTATACCAAGGGTATATGCATAGCTCGTCCGATCCCATTTCACATTTTGGTTTTGCTCGAGCGATCACGTATAAATCCTTCCTCGTCAACACGCCCGACATCGTTGAAAGTTTGATCCGATGATTTCAAGGTAGCATCAATGGCTCCTGCTGGGGATTCTTCAACTTTAACCACTATCGTCTCCGTCAACCCTTCACGGCCTTGGCGTTTCCCAGCACCACTGTGAGTCTTCCGTCCACCTTCATCACCTCTCAGCTTCATTTCTTCCATTTTCTGTCTTGTTGACTCGGTTGTTTCACTCAACTTCTCCTATAAAAAGTTAAGCAAAATTTGAGTACAATTTCAATATGAAACAAATAAAGGTGTATCGGTCGTCACCTTGGTCTTGTCTGCATTCTCTGCGGCCTTGTGCTGTGTTTCTTCGGTTTTCCCGGTGAGGAAATCCATAGCTCTCTTAGCAGCATCAGCAGCAGAATCTTTCAACTCCCCAAGTTTACTAACAGTAACATCCTTACCTTCCTTTGCTTTTTCTGCGGTATAATATTTACCTTCTCTAGTTTTCTCTGCTGCATATTCTGTACCTTGTTTTGTCTTCTCAGCCGTCGCGTCCTTGGCTTCCTTGCCTTTCTCCGCTGCATAGTCCTTATATTCAGTCGCTTTCTCTATTGTAGCATCCTTTGCATCCTTAGCTTTCTGTGCTGCATAATCTGTATATTCGGAAGCCTTTTGCGCGGTTGTATCTTTTGCATCCTTAGCTTTCTCCGCAGCATAGTCCTTATATGCAGCCGCTTTCTCCATTGTAGTATCCTTTGTATCCTTAGCTTTCTGTGCTGCATAATCTGCATAATAGGAAGCCTTTTGCCCTGTGGCATCTCTTGCCTGCTTGGCTTTATCAGCTGTGTAATCCTTATATTCAGCCGCTTTCCCCATTGTAGCATCCTTCGCATCCTTAGATTTCTGTGCTGTATAATCTGTATATTCAGAAGCTTTACCGGTGACTGAATCTTTGGTTTCTTTGGTCTTTTGGGCTGTAGTGTCTCTCGCCTCCTTTGCCTTCTGAGATGCATAATCTGTATACTCGGAAGCTTTATCTGCCGCCGAGTCTCCCGTCTCCTTGGTTTTCCGGGAGGCGTAATCTGTATATTCACCGGCCTTCTCTTTTGTAGCATCCTTTGCCTGTTTCGCCTTCTCCGCACCCTCGTTTTCTTTCTCCGTCGTGACTTCCGCCGCCTCGTGGTTTTTACCCACGACGGCTTCTTTGGCATGCTCGTATGTTCCTTGCACCGCCCTCAACACCGTCCCGATAACTCCAGGGCTCTGTTGCTGTTGCCGCGGTGTTGTTTCCCTTTCCTCCTTATACACAACACGTTCCTCGGGCCTCCTTTGTTGTTGTTGCGGCGGCGACGATTGATCCCATTCTTCCTTGTAAACAACTCTCTCCTCATATTCTCTTCCACGGTTAATATCCTTAAGATCATCAGCCGCTTGTGTCGCCGCCGCCTCCGCCTTGCGCTCCTTCTCTTGCCTAGTCGACATGGTTCAAATCTCAAACACGAACTCACCGGAACAATTTGTTTAATGAACCTCGGCTCGATCTTCGTATATTTTTCTTTAGGCTGGTGAAGGAGAAATGCATGCGATGGATCTATATATAGGATTTGCTGCAGTCTTGCGAGCATCACACGTACAAGGCAGAGTGCTCTCTATGCTTAATTGCCACGTGTTAACCATGAGATTATGGATGACAAGTGGCGCCCTCCAGGCTTTTGAAAGGATGACGTGTTAATGTCATCGAGCGGTGGAATGGATTGGTGTACTGTGTCGGTGTGTTCACATTAACTTAGCCAACTTCGTTTTTCATTACCGTATCTTTCCACCTGTCCAATAATTTGCCACGTGTACTTTTATAATTAAAATTAGATGCAAAGCCTTCTGTGTTGGAAAAGAAAAAGCAAAGCCTTAGATACATATGAAGAAGAAAATCGAATGATGTGCGTATTTTTTTTAGTACGAGTTTGTCAAACGAGTACCGTTGAATATCACTCTCAATTAATACTATTGATTTAATTTATAAAATTTTAAAATTTTATAACTAAACTTATAATTATAAATTAGTTAAAAATTTAAAAATAAATTATTTAAAGAGTTAATTATATTATATGTTCTCAAACTATGATCTTCATTTTAAATTTATCTCTAAACTTTTGAATATTTTAATTTCATCCTCAAACATTCTAAATTAGTCCTTAAACTTTTGAATATTATAATTTAATCCCTAAACTATGTCTCTTTTTCAAAATTGATCCCCAAACTTTTGAATATTCCAATTTCATCCCCAAATTTATCCAAATATGTAATTAGTTTCAACCATAATTTAACCTAAATTTTGTTTTTTTCAAACATATAATAATATAACTTGGCCTAATGCTTTTATTAACAAGGGATGTGATTAGTGTATACATTTAGTTTGGGATGAAATTGGAATATTCAAAAACTTTGGGGACCAATTTAGAATGAAGGTCATAGTTTGGAGATGAAATTGTCATGTTTAAAGATTGAGGACTAATTTAGAATCATAGTCATAGTTTAGGGATGAAATTGGAACATTTAAAAGTTTATGGACCAATTTAAAATGAGGATCATACTTTGAGGACATATGATACAATTAACTCTTATTTAAAATAAAATATTAATTACATTATTTTCCATAAATTTTTTAATAATAATTGGATCAAATATCAACCCCTAAATTAAAAACCTTAAATATTTTTCTTTATCAGTGAAATCGAAATTGCCATTAGCCTCTTCCATCGGTGAGATAGGCACCATCGTTCCTCCCTCCCTACTGGCCTCCATTTGAGTCTGACTGTCAGTTCCCTCTGTTCGCGCAGCTAATCCGATAAGGTAAGTTTTTTTTTATTTTGTTTCAAACTTGGGCGGTCGTCCACGCCATCATCGGCAGGCGCCACAGAATTTTAATTTTTTATTTTAAATAATTTACTTTTAGATTTTTTATTGTTAAAAAATTATGAAAAATAATGTAATAAATATTTTTATTTTAAATAATTTACCTATAGATTTTTAATTAATTTTTAATTATATGTTGAGTTCTTTATAATTTTAAATTTTTATTAAATTAAATTAATGATAATTATTGTTAGTGACGCTCAGCGTACTCTTCGAGTCCTATAATTTTTTTTATAATTTTACTGCATTATTTAAAAATATTTAGAATACTTGAGAGGTAATTCAAAAACAAATAAAATGTAACTTTAAGAGAAAAAACAAACAAATAAATCAATCTAATAATTGAACTTTTAAGTTAACTTTTTTTTATATACATCTTGTGAGTAAATACAAGACAATATATATTTAAAAATTATCAATCAATTGAAAATGAATATTCATACTCCTACTGATACTTGAATCCATGACCTCTAGAGAGAATAATAAGTCCTTTAAATATTAGAGTCAGTTGGTTCATGCTTTTTTAAGTTAACGTTTAATGATGATAGTTACATAAATTTAAAAGAGGAGGCTACTTTATTCCATATAAATTATATAGGATTAATTTGTTATTTATAGATTAATGATTCTCAAGTTTGGAGAAAAAAATAAAATGCGACTCTTATATTTTTTTTAGATACTCATATATCTATGCATACGTAGTGTTCGAATTCAAAATTTCAAAAAATAATAATAATTTTTTTAACTTTTAAGATCATTTGATTTATGCATGTTGAATACAATTTTTACATCTAAAAAATATCAATGTTATAGTTTGCTCAACTAATGTTATTATTGACAGTTATAGTATTAATACAATGATTTATAATATTAATATAATAATTTAAATAAATAATAAATTTCATTACCCCAACAATACTCACAGATTACAAATAACTATATACCCCACTGCTATACCCAAACCAATACAAAAAACAAACAACCAGTAAGACTTCATCTATACAACACAAAAGAACCATTGATAATGTACATACCCTATATACAACACAAAAGAACCATTATACAACACAAAAGAACCATTGATAATACCCTATATACAACACAAAAGAACCATTGATAATGTACATACCCTATATACAACACAAAAGAATTATTGATGATGTACCCTGCAGACGTGACTAATCGAATCCAATAAAATCAATTTGTGATTAGAGTAACAATATATCATAATATATATATATATATATTGTCGAAAATCAATTAAATAACACTAAGTCAATTAAATAACACTAAGTTATTTATAAAGTTTTGATTAATTTCCATTTATGGCTATCAAATATTATTTTATTTCCTTACAAACCGTACACAGAAAACACATGTAAATCTACAACCAAATTCGAATTCAGTAGAAATGATTAATTACTTCTAAAATCTGCCATCAATTACCCACGACTCCAATCATCCTCACTGATCCTAACGTTGAGTCTTCTAAGCCAAACCGAGTGAAGTATCATGTGAAACACATCGAATCGCTTCGGCGGCGAATTGAACACAAAATGCCTTCTTACTTGCAACACTCTCCTCTGCATTCTTATATACTGCCTTGTCGATATGCTCGTTAATATCTCCTTCAGTTTCGGGATCTCGTCGACCGAAACCACCACAGAAAACGATTTCCATCTCAAAACATCACTAAATGGTGGCACATAGCTCTTTGAAATAAGCACCGGAACGCATCCGTTGTACAATGCCTCGACGATCCTCGGACTCGCAACTTCGTACCCACTAGGACAAATGCAATACTTGCTATTTCTCATCATTTCATGGTAATTACCACCTCTTGGAAGGTATTTATGTACCTTAATGTCTTCATCCTTTCCTTCCCAATGCTCGAGTAGGATTGGTCTTATCGGACCATGAACCCCTCCTGCGAAGAATGCCAAGATACTACGCCGAGAAGCCGATGGTCCACCGATCAAACCAGTTAATTTATCGGTTAGGAGATTGATTTCCGGAATCGAGACATCCTTGACCGGGTTGAATCTTTCGGATGTGTTTGCATTGCATAGAGCTCGAATGGAGTTCCTTTCTAGGTAAGGAAGTGAAAAGCTAGCTTCTGGCCCCTGCGTATAAAACCATAAAAAACCTCAAACTCGAATCTACATCAACTATGGTCATGACGCTGAAACGATAAAAAAAACTAACCCAATCATGACAGGCGACCATGAAATGATCAGCACCGTGGCTCCGATTCCAGTAAGGGTATTTCTGCGCAACGAGATTGATGTAGTCAATGACGGTCCTTCGTATGGGACCAAAATCACGGGTGTCACGCGAATAAACGAATCGGACCATCTTTGCCACACTAAATGGGAGGTAAAAAACATGAGCTTTGAGGGGATCATTGGTTTGGAATTTGGAATCAACATCCATCTGATAAATGAAATTTCCTTCCATGGAATAGATGCTCTTGCAAGGACCATCATGAAACACCGGAGGCTCCCCTTCTTTGTAAACGAAGACCTTGAATTGTTTCTCCATCTCCAGGTAGCTCCTATAAATTACGAAGATTTGAGTTAAACCCAGTCTATATATAATTTAAGAAATGTATTTTTAAAATCTAATTATATAAACATATCAATATGATATGGAATTATATTTTATTATTTTTAAATAAAAGCATACTTTAACCGGGCCTGTTCGGGTCCGAACTTTTAGAATTAGGAACATAATAATGTAAATTTTAAACAAAATAAAAAAAATCAAATAATCAGTTAATTCTATTCTAAATAATGAGTTCATGGAACCTCGTACAATATTTCTCATTTCATAACACATCATATCATGTATTTATGTAATAATTAACAATTTTATTAGGAGTAAAGTTACTAAAGTATACAAATAATTCCTAATTATAGGGAACTAGGAACTGACTAATTGAATCATCGACTATTAAAAGGTATAAAATAATTCTCAACTATAAGATGTTATTTTGTTGAGTATTACATTATTAAAAATTATAAAATAATCATTTGACTATTCATTTGTTCTAATAGTGTCCTTTTCCATTAAAAAGTTAAAGCTTATTTGAGTTAGACGTTAATATATTGATAGAAATATGATAATTCATATTTTAATGATATCTATTAATATTGTCGTTGTTTTCAAACATTAACTCTACGACATAATATTTTAAGCATTAGCTTAACGATATATTATAAACAGAAAATTGATTCATAAATACAACTTAAACGATTCTGAAATCAGATATTTTATTATATCCCAGTAAAAATGTTAAATCTCAATTCAAACGACTGACAAATTTTTAATAAAAAAATATAAATTTAAAATATATAAATAATCAAATAATTATTTTATAAATTTAAAAAATTAAAATAATCAGATAATTATTTTATAAATTTTAAAAATTAAAATAATCAATAAAACTATAATTACATGATCAGATATACAATTAACTCTTTCATATATGTCCTGTCCTTTTCACTCTCAGCTTTGTGTTGTTTTTGATGGGGGACTTAAACAAACGTCTTGTCGTTTGTCAAAGTAGTACGCCCGCCTTTCAACACTGTTTAGGAGTTTTGGTTTTATTTATTTTTTTCCATAACAGAGACCCAAAATCTTAAGCAAATCACTCTGGTTGGCTTGATTTTTAATCACCCCATTCACAAGGGCAAATCCAACACCAACATGCTAAAATCTTCATTAATTTCTTAAATGACCTGTCCTTCTACTTTTCTCTATTTTATTATCTTCTTTATGTTGATCAACATCAAGTCATTTTCTTTGTCTAGTACAGTTAGAGTAATAGACAAAAAGAAGATACCTGTGGAAGGCCTTGGCATCCCAATACATAGGACCATTTGGTACATAGTCAGGATCTTGTAATTGGCTCCCATTCTTTGCTTCTTTTATGGCCGATCGAGCTCTTTGTAAACCTGCTTCAACTCTATCTAATTTGCTTCTAACTCCTCTGCTTCGTTTCAAGGGGAGAGCTATGGTTTCATTTACGCATAATATCGTACCATTTCGTTTCAAGGGCAGAGCTATGGTTTCATGTACGCATAATATCGTACCATTTGCTGCCCAATAAGTGGTAGTATTTAAGCCCTCTTCCTTTGTTTCATTCTGCACACAATTAGACCAGAATAATGGGCTAAGTTTGACTCTAATGACCAGCCGGCACAATTTCCAAGACTTCAAAATGGATTTAAAACTCTTTCTTAAAAAAAATAATATAAAATACTTTACTTTCTCATATGAGACATGCAACCAAAAGGAGCAAGCTTTATGACTACGGAGTTTTCAACAGTAATTTGTTTTATAATTAATCCCAAAGACAGCAGCAGGCAGTATAATATGCTGACAATGACAATTTTAAAGAAAATGGAAAAGAGAATAAATTTATCACTCACTAGTTCTTGAATTTTCGTCACTGCTTTAAAAGCATGTGGCGGCGAAGCCTCTTCCGACGGTGCTGCTTCTCCCGGGCGGCTTCCAACATCCATTGGTTCTTCAGCAGGCGCGGCTGCAGCAAGTTTCTCGCTGCTATTAGAGGTGGAAGAAGGGAGGGTAGAGATGAGATCCCAGGTTGAGTTTGTTGGGAGCAGAACAAAAACAACGAGTGATGCCAGGATCAACGGGACTGCAAAGAACAAAAGCTTGATTTTTGATGAAGAAGATGGCGTTGGGGGTGTTGAAAAACAACAAGCAAACCAAGTTGTGGCCATCTTCCGAGTTTCTCCAAAGGGATTTTACGATGCGTTAACAGTTTGCATCAGAATGACTGGAAAAATGGGTTGATTTGGGGGGGGAGGGTGGTTTGTTGTTTTGTGTTGGTGAAGAAACAGGTGGACACAAGACATGCCGATTGCCAAGCGTCCTCTTTATTCTACCTTCCTTCATGCAATTTTTCATTCTTCCCATTCCACCCCTCTCCAATCACCGATTCTATATTTAATTCGCCTCTTTCTTCCCTTCTTATTTTCACTTTGACATGATCCTCTGCGTCTGTTATAACTTACTACTTATATTATATATATATATATATATAATCGATATTTTATTTATTAATCCATTAATTTAATTCAAATACTATATAAATAAGAATAATTTTAATAATCTAATTTATTTCCTTCGCAAATATTATTAATTAAGATAAATTAGATCCATAGATAAATTTGAGTTGAGCTTGAGCCTCAACAACAGGATAAATTTGAGTTGAGCGCTTGTTTATTCCTCTGTTCATGGAGACCGGAGGGTAGTTTCGTATTTTAGCTATTAATTTACTAGCTTCGCGTGCAAGCTCACCTCTCTCATTTATTTCGGTAACGGTTGGGAAATTTGGGATTAGGGTATTTATCGAATGAGTCTAACTTAATTTTGATTATGTTTGATTCGTACTTGTTAACAAATTTTTTTATTCGATTTAGATCGTTACTTGTTAAATTTATTAAAAAATTTTGACTCGTGCTCGTTCAAAAAACTTATTGCTCAACTCATTTCTCATTAAGCTCGTTGCTCGTTAAACTTATAAAAAAATTTACCTTGTTTCTTTTATTATAGATAAAATATACTAATATTATATGGAGCTTAATTTAATAGATTTAATCAAAAAATTCAAAAGAGTGTATGAAACAATTTTAAAGTCTAAACTATAAAGCAACAATCCACAAATACATTAAAATGATAATTAGGGTTTGATTTTGAGTGTAATAAAATAATAATTATTAATTATTATAAAATTAATAGATTAGTATTTTTTATTATCTATTAGTAAATTAGTAATTTTTTAAAAATAGAATCGACTCAACTCGTTAAGATCTCGAATCGAACTCGAGTTTGAATCAAGTCAACCTGAGTTGAGCTTTAATCAAGTCGAGTTCTAGATGCTCAACTCATTAAAGCATCCCTATTTGGGATAAACTTAAGTTTAATTAAAGAATTTATTAAGTAATCTAGGTAATAAAAAATTATTTTTAGATATCATCTTAAGTTTAAGTAGTTATATTTATAAGGTATATATATATATATTATTAATGGTTATTTTTTTTAAAACAGATAGTCTCTTATAATCATTCTAGATTATTAAAAAAATAAAAATTAAAACATTTTACTTTTAAGTCTTAGTTTAATTAGTAGTTGATATTATTGTAATATTTTAAAAACAATAAATTATATGATGACCATTTATGTTTTCATGTCTCATTTTTATTATTGGTTTTCAAAAAAAAATTATATTTTGATAATTTTTATTTTTGATTTATCTTATTTTAATTATTGATTCGTTAATTCTTGTTAGTTTCATGACATGACACGTTATTAAAGTGATTAATTTTAAGTTAATCTTAAACTTTAGATAAAATATTATTCGTTAAACTTTAGATAAAATATCAATTTGAACCATGTATTAAACCAAACTCTTCCGACGATCGTCTCTCACCACCATCGTCGATCACATCGACCACCATCGATGTCTTCATTGACAACAGTTGGACCTCAAAATTCCTAATTCACTCATTTTTGACATCTTAAATGCAAATTTAATATGTTTCATGAAAAATACCTAGACTCCACAAATTTAATCTATAACTATTTGAATCCTTTAAAATAAACCATTATAATAAATTTATTATTAATATTTTTAAAAATAAATACATTAAAAATTAAAAATTATATCATAATCAAATCTATAAAAAAATTATTTGGGTGGTCAAACAAATTATGAAAACACTTGAAAATAAAATGACTCATGAAAAGAATTAAGGTATGAAAAAAATGAAAGCTTAGAGTGCAATGTTCACGACTATCATCACATACAAAGTTGATAATTTACAAAATTTTCTATACTCTTTACTTATCCGGAAGAACTTCACTCCCTCAAACGACCCAACAACTATATATACATGTAGTATAGTATGATCAATGTTCCATTGAAGGTTAAAGCAGCCCCTTTTATTGTAGGATTTAGATCCCTTGGCTGTTTATATTTAGTTAGGCAAGGCGTGCTCTTGCAACCAAAGCATTAGTAGGTTTGCATTTTTTTTTTGCTCTGCAAGATGATTTTATTAGAATAATCGAATAAATCTTATCCAATTGTATGCTTAATTAAAATCTCTCTAGTCTTAAATGGATGAAAAAAATACATATAACCAGACTCGCAATTTAATGCTTAACCCGAAGAACAAATTGTTAAAAATGGGGTATCAACTAGGGCTGTAAATGAGACGAGACAGATCACGAGCTACTCGAGCTCGACTCGGTCAAGGCTCGATAAATATTCGGATCGAATGGACTCGACTCGAACTCGATCTCGACTCGAATTCTTAACGAGCCGAAACGAGCTACTTGATACTCGACTCGAAAAGCTCATGAGTAACTCGAAAATATAATATATTAAGATTTTATTTTTTAAAAAATAAATTATTAATAATATTAACATTTATGTGTTGATTTTTTTAAAAAATACAATAAGGCTTTCATGTATTTAAGGTTCCGGTTCGAGTTTGAATTTGAGGATTCAATCTTGTTAAGTTTAAGATTTTTTTTTTCATTTCGAGCCTTTTCGAGCTGCTAACGAGCTTCAGTTCAGGATTTCGAGTTCGAGTCGAGCTTAAAAATTTTAAACTCGTGAGTTTTCGAGTCGAGTCGAACTCCATTTCAGAGTTTTCGAGTCGAGTCGAGCTCAGCAATACTCGAGCTCAACTCGGCTCGTTTACACTCCTAGTACCAACGAACATGACAATTGCAATTACATTGAAAGTTGAATGATTACGAATGTACGAATTACATGTTTTTGGAAAGTCATTCTTACGTAACTAAAATATAAATCATTTCTCTAAATAATTTTTTTAGAAACGATATTGTTCCCATAAAAATCCCTTTGTTTAAAGTATATTGGGAATGTTTATGGAGTTGATTATGAAGGTTCGGTTTGCTTACCACTTATGAAGAAAATAGAGTTATTTGAAACACATGAGTTATTTAAGGGATTTGTTTAAAGTATATTGGGAATGTTTTTGGAATATCTGGTAACGGGTAAGTGGCTACAAATTAGCTTATGCTCGCCCAAATATTTTAAATGCAAATTTCGGTGGCTGCTGCTTCAATGCCAAATCCACACGATAATGTAGGTTTTTACTTATAATTACGATAACACTCAATCGAATCGAGTTGAATTAAATAAAAAAATGTTTAAGTTGTCCAAATAGACGTTTCTTATTTTATAACTCAAACTTGATTAAAAATTTTACGATTTGATTTGAGTTTATGAAATTCGAGTCGAGTTGAATTGTTCGAATTTTTATTCAAATTTAATTCTAAATATTTATAATTTATAGTATTATTTAATTCCAATTTAAATTTTTTAATCATATATGATATAAATAGATATTTCTTCATATTTTTCATATGCAACGTGTGTGTGTATATATATATATATATCAGTCTAGAGATAAAAGATTCAACTTGAACTTAAAAATCAATCTACTAATTACTTTAATTACTTATAAGTTGAAAGTTTTGCTATTTCTTACTTAATTTTGCACCAAATTATACTCTGAACCCAAATCACATGTTATGTTTTTTTATTCCTATATGCTTTGAATTTCAATACAAAAATAAGATTTGATTTTGCAATTTCAATTGCCCAGGACTTGGAACGAGTGAATAAATTGCGCTTAGACATTTGTTTTTAAAAATGGATAAAAATAGACGTATAATTTTATATTAGACATGCGAATTTAAAACATATTATCAATATAAAAAATTTAAAGTTTCAGAAGACGACTCTCTCTACCCACCTACCTTTCATATTCAATAAGATCGGATTATATCAATCCATGTTGGTTTTGGATATTTTGATCATCCTTATATCTATAAGTCCAGTGTTGTAAATAACAAATATAAATTGGACAGCACTTGAGGCAGCTACTAATGAACCGGAGGAATATCATGTTTCCAATTAATGCATGTTGTCTCTTCACAACTAAATAGCTATTACGATGATTTATTACTTTCTTAAGCCACTCGATTTTTTTCTTTTCTTTTCTTTTTTTTTTAAAAAAACAAATCATTAGTTTTCTAAAACATACCTTCATAAAATTCTTAAATTCTCAACAACCCCTCAAATAACACTATATATTTTACTTGCACATGCCAAAGAAAATGAAAATATATTTATACATCGTATATAATTATAGAGAATCGTTTAATTGGAATCAATCAGTATATCAATATAATAAATGATTACAGTTGAACTTTAAAAAAACTTGAATTGATTTACTCAAAAAATTAAAATAAAATTTAAATGATTTTCGTAAACTCGACTAACTCAATTTTCAATCGAATACGGTCACTCAAATACAAGGCCTATATTTTCACCTTAATAAATTTCTCGAATTAGATACATAATTTACGGTGTAAACAAATATATCCATTCCCTTAGTTGGACAAAGTATTTTGATATTATTAACTCGTATTGCCTCCAACAACCGATCATTTATGAATGCACCAGGACCATGTAAATGATATTGAGAATGAAATTCAATTGAATTAAATGGACGGTCACCGCATTCACAGCATCCGGCCTTGAATTCCATTGAATAGATACTAGCTTTGTTTAACACTTTTAATTCTGATTCTTTTATTTATATTATATATGAATATGGAAAATATAATTTTTAAATATAAAATAACAATTAATTGAATATATTTACATTGCTCTCCATATTTTCATGAAACACTTTATTTTTCTAAAAGGAAATCATTTTGAGTTTCCTCTCTTCTTTTGAATAAAATAATTTATTAATATTTGTGTAAATAGTAAATGGCATTTGTCGTGGAATACTGAAATCATTCAAAGGGCCACCACAGTTTTGAACATTCTTCCACGTGATTACATAGTTGCGTCAATCTTTTTTTTTTAATTTATTATAATTAAGGCTTAATTTAAAATTTTATTCAAATAAA